TACATAGAAAGCAAGACAAAAAGTTTCTTGCACAGGCCGCAGACAGTCCTTGATATCGGGGTGGCGCAGTAATCTAAGTGCATATGTCTTAAGTGTAAAGGAACCTTGTTTCCTAACCTCCAAGTGTCAAAGTGGACAAATGTAAACAAATGTTCTACTGTTATTATTCCTTACAACTATTATTATAAATTATATAATAATAATAATAATAATAATAATAATAATAATGATATAATTATAATAACATATAATTTAATAATGTATAATTGTCGGAGGAAGATAATTTGTTAAAAAAAAATGATATACATCTCTTTGATTTCATTCACCCGGAAACATAAATGAATCGACGAGCCCCAGTCTACGGTATTGCGGCTTTTCTGGCAAAGCGTTGCGACGCATTGCGTCTACTCGACCAAAGCTATAGTGGAGTGAGTGAGTGAGAGAAAGAGAGAGAGTGAGAGATATTAGCGAATCGGGTGTAAAAGTGACTTACGAGCCCAAATGTCTACAATGCTGGCACGCGCACCTTGAGATTTCATTCTACACAGTGTCATTAACTGTGAAAACCAAAATATTGACCCTCGTTTTTACAACTTCCGCAAAAACTAAATTGCGAGGTAAAATCTAATTTCAAATAGAAGGAAAAAAAAATGTTTCAATTTTAACGAAAAAAATAAAGATTTCTTTTCAGAAATTAACATTATCAGATATGGTTATTTTCGGTTATTTTACTATATAAATAAGAATTAAATTTTGTCATGTGTTTTGGTAGTATACATCTTACTCTGAAATGAGAAAAGATTTTTGTCTAAAATATTGAGGGATGATAGATTTGGGTACAAGGAATCTCGCTGTTCTCTGAAAAATACATAATTTTGCGTTAAATTATTAAAAAAATGAAGTTTAAAAAGTGGCATTTTTAAACTAAAATGAAAAGAAACATGGCGGCGCATACACAGACGTTAATTGAGTGTGTCAGTGCTCCAGTAAACAGCGCCAATTCGAGCGAGTGGCCGCTGAATGAACTAGGATAAAACACATTATTTTACTATTTATTGCTTTATTTTTATTATTTTTGCGTTAAGTTGCAGTAAATGAGTTAAACGGCAAGATTCCTTGTACCAAACTAAATCATTTCTCCAAAATTTTAACTCGAAATCATTTTTTATTTCAGAGAAAGTTTCAAATCACAAAAAAAACGTCCTTTGCCCACATACTCTTAAGGACCAAACTTTGAAAAAGCTACGTTTGTCACTTGGCACAATCTAAATTTTAAGGTTATGTTCGCCCTTTAATCTTGACATTTTGAGGTTATTTTCAAAAAAAAAACTTTAGGATCTTTTTAATCATTAAATAAAATATAAACTATACTTGTAAAATTAAAAAAAAAAATTATTAAATTTTAGAAAAATTCAGTTACAAAGAATCGAACCCGAGACCCTTAAACTTGTAAATCCGCACTTGTTGCCACTTGGCTGTTTACAATTTGTAAGAATAAATTCTCTCAAACTAATTATTATTTTAATTCTCATTTCATTAAGAGATGTTTCTGTAAGTTTAAAAATAAAAATTACTCACAATTTGAAAACAAAATGATTTTAATGACTCTTTAAATATTTTTCCACGACTAAAGCAATTCGAAATTTTCCAAAAGTGAAACTTTTCAACAATTGGATGCTTGACAAATAATTTAAAATAAATTTCATAAATAATTCAAAATGTATTATTAAAAGGGCCAATTAAAATTGACTAAATTGTAACTTTTGAATTTTCTTTTTTTTTTTGAATATATTGTAATAAGTCATGAAAAAAGTTAAAACATTTAAATTAATATTACAGCGCGTAGAGACACTTGAAACTTTTCCTGACACTTTACAAACACAAAGTTACGTAACTGTTTCTGGCACATGTTTTAAAGTTTCTCTAATCAAAAACAGTGGCTCTGTTTCCAAGTGTTAAACGCTTTGCAAATAAATTCGATGATATACCCCCCCCCCTTCCATGCCGCACCAACAAATTGCAGAGAACGATTGTTAATAATGGGCCAAATGGCAAACGTGCCGAATTCGCTTAATAAGCGAAGCCAGATTCACATAAAGTGGATATGAACAATGAATATCGAGAATGTATTTTAGATAAGGCATTGATGCAAAAGTGGTGATAATAATTATAATAAAGGCATAATTTCAAAAGAGGGACTTTTATAGAATTGAAGAGAGAACTTTTAAAGTTAATTAACTTTGAATGCTGCTATTACACGTGCATACATGAAGATATATAATTAGAAAAAAAATTCCCTTCCTTAAATCCTCTCAATATACAAAACGTTAATTTAATCAAAGAGAACTAAAATAATTTATTAGATTAAAATAAAAAAAAAAATAAGGAACCTTTTAAAGTTTTAAAATAAAAAAAAATTTATAATTCAAATGGAGCCAATGTATTTCCCATAAAAATCATTAGTTAAATTTTTTTTTTTTTTTAAAGAATTTTATTAGATATAATTATTTTTTAGTATTAACGTTTGAAAGAATTTCTTTTTAAACGAATATTTACGTAACAGATTTTTAGGTTCCGAATTTTTATTTGGCAGAATTTCACTATACTAAACGTTTTATTTAAAAAATTCTAATTTAGCCGAATTTAATTTATCAGAATTCTCATTCAACAGAATTTTAATTGATTCGAATTTTTAAATGATAATAGAATTTCCAATTCACCGAATCTTCATTTGTCCGAATTTTTTTTGCCCGAATTTTCATTCAATAATTATCATTTATTATTATTAATTACTAATTTTTTTATTTTATTATTTATTATAATAAATTATTATTTTTTTTATTTTACTCTCTAAATCTGAATTAGTAGTTTTCTACTATAATGAAAGAGAGCGTATTCGTTTACCAATTGAATTAGTAACAGATTTGACTAATTTTTAGTAAAAAAACTACTAATTGCTAGTAGAAAACTACTAATTCATTAGTAAGTCGAATTTTTGACTATTTTAAATTAGTAAAGCCGATTTACACTCCATGAATTAGTAGTTTTCTACTAGAAATTAGTAGTTTTTTTTACTAAAAATTAGTCAAAACTGTTACTAATTCAATTGGTAAACGAATACACACTCTTTCATTAGTAGAAAACTACTAATTCAGATTTAGAGAGTACATAAAACGCTCAATTTCCATTTGTCCGAAATTGAAAATGACCGATAAACAATCGACAGAAAGATTATGGTGTGAATTTAAAAATTAACCAATCCCAATTTTCAACGATAATTTCTGATTAGTTAATTTTAAAATTTGCGCCAAAATATTTTTGTCTTCTCTAAATCTGAATTAGTAAAAATGTTTACTAATTTCAATTAGTAAAGATTTTTACTAATTCAGATTTAGAGAGTCGATTATATGTCGGCTATTTTCAATTTTTAATTGAAATTCGACGTTTCAAGAATGTTATTAAATAAAAAATCGTACAAATAAAAATTTGAACAAATATTAAAAATAATTCGTCTAAAAATAATTATTTCTAATAAATTATTTAAAAATGAAAATTTTAACTAATATTTTTTATGCAAAATTCATGCGCACTGTTTAATAATTATTGTTTAATTTTTATTCTAATTTATTAATTAATATTTTTATTTTAATTTATTAATTAATATTTTTATTTTATTTTATTAATTATTAATTTTGTTTCTACTTCATTATTCAAATAGTTTTTATTGCATTAAATCAATATTTCTGTTTATTTTTTTATTTTTAAAAATATAATTTAAATAAATTGAATTTTGTTAAAAAATTTCATGCCTTTCTGAAGGGAAAAGAAAATTTATATAGTATCAAGTTGAATGCAATTTATTTGAGACAAAATGTGAATAGCATCAAATATCATTTTGAAAGAGAAAAGCATAATGGAATTCTCAGGTACACCCTATAGTTTGATCTTGATTGTATATCCAATTCAAAGCACCTGAATTTCGATTCGGAGAAAAGATGTGTATTCATATATATATATATATATATATATATATATATATATATATATATATATGTGCAAATGCGAAATATTACTTTAGTGAAAAATGCCTATATTGGAAAGCTCTTACTTTCAATAAATGCTAAAATATATACATACATAGATTTGGAAGTAGAATAAATTTTATAAGGCTTTTCTCAAGGCAAAAAAAAAAAATGGAAATTATTCAGCATATGCTCATATTGATTGATGATATTTTAGACAAAATTTATTTTCTTCAATTTGTTTACGTAAACAAATAGTTTTAGTACACAATGCCAATACTACAAGCAGAGAAATTCTCTATTTAAATCAAGTATTTTTATATAATTTGTTCAATAACTTTTAAACAAAATATTGTTTAATTTTGTAAAAAAAAAGATAAATAAAAATTATAATTGTAAATAAATTAATAATAAATTAATAATAACAATAAATAATAATAAATAAATAAATTTTTTCTCAAAGTAATTTTTTTTTAAATAGTAAAACTGAATCTTCAAAATTTTGATACAATCAATTTTATTTGAAAGGTTTGAACCTTCTTAAAAGTGGCTATTATTATTGTAAAGAAAACAAAAAATTTCTTCTAAAATACTTATAAAAAAATAAATAAAATTGAGCAAATTTTCTTGTAAAAATAATTATTTTTAAGCTGCGTGTAAGCAGCCCCTGTATTTTGACAACTCTTAATACCAGGCCTGTGCCTTTGAGATTTTCAAAGACGTTTATAATTTGTATAACATTACGATTTTTTTGAATTTTATAAAAACTTGACATTATAGCCAAATATAAGAGTTGATTAATTGTTTTTTTTCTTTGCTTATACTCATCAATTTTTCTATATACGTATACAAAATATAAAAATAACGCTAAATAATTCGTATACAGAGTCAAAGGAATATTAAAACAATATACGTAATAAAAAATGCATTAACATTATAATAAAACGATATAGTAAATAAAAAATAATAATTACTTACATGATGCAGAATCTTCAGTCTATTTACAGAAAAACGTCTCTTGAAATATTTAATAAAAACGATAAAAACAAATAAAATTAGCACATAACCTCACTTTATATTTACACACACTTTTTTGTCTTGTTTTAATACTGTAAATAATTTAAATCACTTATTATTATTATTATTTTCACTGAAATTGTCTAATTTACTATCACTGAGTACAAATTTTGTTGCGATACAATAAATTATTATTAAAAAAAACAATTTATAAGAATGGTAAATATTAAATAACACAATTATTTTCATGAGACGGTATAACCGCATGCTTAGCAATTTACATTAAACATAACAGAGTGCGCTGATTACCAACTTATCGACCGTAATCTACTTAATCGACTATTACCAATACAAAAAATACATATAAATGTATAACTTAATTAATATTAGAATAAAAAAATTTTTATTAATTAATATTAATTTTAGATTAAATAATTAATTAAATTTACAAATGATTTATATATAATAATATTGTTGTAGATAAAGATATTAGAATAATTTGAACAGAATTTAACTTGAGTCGACATCTAGCGAAAAAAAAGTTGAAACACATTTACAATATTAATTTAAAAACCTAACCTCAAATTTTCTTTGCGGAAAATCATGTCAGAAATGATCAGCTGAGCGTTTTATTAATCAAACAGTATATATCACAGTGTCGACACGTTGACAATTATTGGAGGGTTGATAGATTTTAGAGGGCGGCTCCCGATATGAACTTTGTTTTGTATATGTTTTATATATTGTACAGTTATGTATATATCTCGTCACGTGGACTTCGATCTCGTTAAGACGATTTCTATAATTGCATGTAAGTAAAAAAAAAAAAAAAATACAAGTCTTCTTAGATTACGTATTAAACTTTGCAATATATCCAGTAGATCTCGGGACTGCAATAATGCAAATATGGTTAGTACATATGTGTGAAGTGTTTTTCTTTTTCTTTTCCCTATTTAAAAATAAAAAATATAAATAGTGATTGATAACAACAGAATTTTTGCGGTTTTTTCTCTTTACATCTATTTATATTTCTATCAACAAGTTTTATTTAAAGTTATTTATTTACAGTTTTTACTAAAAAAAAATAAACTTTAACCTGACAATAAATTCTTTTTCTTAAATTTCTTTTTCTTATTAATTATTGTGTTTATTGTTATTTTTTGTTCTATTTTTTTCACTGAAATTTTAAATCAATTGTTTTTGTTTATTTGTTTTAAATTATTTTTTATGCACCTTGATTATTATTCAAGAGTTTATTTTTAGTAATATATCTTTTTTTTTAGGAGAATAATTTTTAAAGTTTAAGAGATTACAAGAGGTTAGTTTTGACTATATATATGTATAATAAAAATTACCGAAAAAGTGAAACATTGATACTAACTAAATAGGATTTAATTAAACATAAATTACTGTTAGAAAATTACTCATATAAATAGTTTTCATTTTTGGAGATAAATGAAAAGTTAAAAATACTTTTTGAGTTTAATTTGTATAAAAATTTGCAATTACGAAAAAGTCAATTTATCACTTTACGAAAGAATTAAAATTGTAATTTAAGTATTCAGGTAATTTTCTATAATAATTTATGCCGAATTTAATATATTTAGTGAGTATTTATTTTTTCAAAAAATTTTTCTTTTATATTTTTTCACTTATTCTGTGAAACTGCCAAAACTTATCTATTAAACATGAGCCAAAAGTTTGGAACGTTATAAAATGAACGAAATTTGTTTTGCAACTTCTTAAAGTACGAATTTTATTACAAAATATTGTTTTAAATATCTAAAAAGAAGTTATTAATTTAATAATTGTTTAATTTACTGTTTTATTTTACATTGACATCATAATTTTTAATAATTTATAAATTAAAAAAAAATATTTTGTTCATTTAAACGTTCAGAACTTTTGGCTCATTATTAAACTTTAAAAATTATTTTCTTAAAAAATAAATGATATTTTACCAAAATAAACTCTTGAATAACAATAGCAAGCTGCACAAAATTTTTTCCGCAAATGAATGAATGAAAATAAATTTTTTTTAAACATCCAAAGTCAAAAACAAAGCTGAAGTACGCAACGTTTATGATAAATGATTTTTAAAGAAATAATTTTTTAAAATAAAAAATTCTATAATTTTCTGCCTAAAAAAATATCTCTTCTAGTTTTTATTAATCAACAAATTATATAAAAAAAATATTTTTTAGTCAAAAAATTATAAAATTTTTTATTTTAAAAAATTATTTCTTTAAAAATTGTTTATCATAAATGTTGCGTGTTTCAGCTTCGTAAGTCAAAACTAAAAAATTAGTTTTAATTTTCAAAAAAGGGTATTAAATTCTTTTTTGTCATTGAAAAGTACAATGAAAAATTCTTCAACAAATTCTTTGTAAAAATTATAAAATCCATAAAATTTTGTCTTAGTAATACGAATTTAAAAATGATATAAATATTGATTGCAAATTTTTTTTTTTTAAATAATAAAACCACACGGTCTAAATGATTTTTACTGGATTTTTTTTTTGGCATTAAATTTTTTTGTTACACTATATGAAAAAAAAATATATTCTTATAATTTTCACAGGCTGACACAAGAATGCGAAAAAAGTTTGATGGAGCGAAAAAATACGACGAAATGTTGAAAAGAGGTGGCTCAGAATATATTCCATTGGTCGATGGTGAAAATCCAAGATACAGAATTGTTTTGTCATTTTCAAAAGTTGCTTGGTTCACTGTCTCATTACCTTTTTTTGCCTTTATTTTTTGCGTTATTTGGTCAATAATTTATAATTTTGAACATTCAACTTCGACACATTGTCAGGTAAAAATTATGAAATTTCTATAAATTTATTTTTCAAATTGAAAACAAAAAAAAAGTATTTGAAATAATAAAAATTTGGAATAAAATTCTAAAAATGAACTAATTTAAAATTTTCATAAAATATTAAAAATATTATATAATTGTGTAATAGAGATAAAAATAAATAAATAAAAGGGATTTTTTTCAAGTGAAATTTTTCTGTTCAATTAGGTTTACAATTTTTTACCATCAGTCTCAGCAGCAATTGGTCATTATAAACCGCAGAAAAATGTATGGAAAGGAGCGATAGCATTGCAAGCTTTTGTGAGAGCTTTAATTTTTCTGATGTATTATAGATTTTACAAGGAGAAAATACACAAATGGGCAAATGGAATTAGCAATTTGGCACTAGTCACTTACGCCTTAGAAAATATTTCACTTGTCGCATTAAGTTTTTGGTCTTCCAATGAAAATTATGGTAAGCATATTTTTAATTTTGTTCATATATCAATACAGAGCTCTAAATGTATGACTTTTTTGATTAAAAAAAAAAAAAAAAAAAATTGCCAGTTATTTCGATTTTTAACTTGTAAAATGTGATTAATCACAAATTATTATTATTAATATACAATGCTGCAATGATTAAAATCAAAAATTTGTCTACATTTAAAATGTTTTGAGAATTTTTTAAATAAATTTATATTAAATATATTTTTCAAATTGAATTTTGTATATTTTAAGAAATGTTCATAATTCATCTTTTAAACTTTTTTGCGAATATTCAATTGCCATTTTATTCAAAGTTATTTACCTTTTTAAAATATAAATTTTTGAAAACACGACTTCTTAAAATATTTGTTTAAAAATTTTTATATTTACGACAAAACTATTATAACAATTTTAGTTTTTAATTAAAAAATGTTAAATATTTTCTTTAATAAAAATATAAATATTTCTTTGATGCTTTTATTATTAAATTTATCGTTTAAATATTTATTTAAAAAAACGAATAATTTAGAAATGAACTTTTGAAAAATTGGATTTTGGTAAAAAGTAATTTGATTTAAATTTTAAAAAACATATTTAAATAAAAAAATCGGATTTATTTATTTATTTTAAATCAATATTATTATCAGCCCTGTTATTATAATAGAATTTAGAGTTTGAGTTTAAATAATTTTTGAAAACTTATTTTTGAGTTAGACTTTTTAAAAAATTTGTATGGCTTGAAATCTTAAGAAAATTCTTTTAAATATTAAACTCACTTAAATATTCTATAAATTAACGTTAAAATTTTTTTTTAAAACCTGTTCAAAATTGAAAATTTGAAAAGTCAATTCCAATTCTTATTTAATTTAGATGAATATTTAAAAATAATTTCAATAACTTAATTGAATAATAATAAGTGAAGAAAAATTTTGTATTTATATTAAAAAAAAATTATTTGAAATTTTATTATTTAGTTAGACTTTTTAAAAATTTGTAAATAAATTCAAAAAATTTTAATTAAAAAATTCTTCTTTTATCACTGAAAATTTTGAAGATAATTTCAATTAAAGTCAATTGAAGGCCTGTAAATAATTTTCTTTTCTTGTTTTTAATAACAATATCATGAAATTTGCATAATTTTTTTTGTTTTTGTTTTCAGCCATACACAAATTGTCTTTCATAACATTTTTAATAATGTCCTTATTTCATATGTTTTTAACATATTATATAATGACAAAATGCAGAAATGTCTCTAAAGATATTTCCGATACAACTTCGATAAAATGGAAATATCGTTCCATGATCTTCAACATTACTTCCATATTTTTGGCGTGTTACTTCTTCTACAGGCACAATACATTCTGCGAACCATTAGGTATTTATTTTCTTTATTATTAATTTTATTTCTATTTCTTTATATCTATGACAATAATTTGAAAGTGTAATTTTTTTTTTATTTACATTCTACTTTAGTCGGAAGGTGCGGTGATTATTTTTTTTTTCTTTTTAATATATAATTACTTAAAATTAAATTCCAGTTTATTCAATGTTTGCACTTGCTGAGTACCTGGTTGTGATAACAAATATGGGTTACCATTTAACAGCCGCTTGGGATTTTGCAGGACGACATCTACTTTTTTCAACAACCGGCTTTAGGATTATTTAGTTTTTTATCAATTTTTTTTTTTAAATTTCATATTTATTTCAGGACAAAGATTTGTGCTCTTCCATCAAAATCTTTAACGACCTTTTTTTATCGATAAATTATGTTTGACTAAAAAAAAAAAAAAACATAATGCCACAGAATTATTGCTATTAGGTAGAAACAAATTTATTATTTATATTTATATATAGTGTATATAATAAAGGAAATGAAAGGCATTTATGAAAGATTTATATTCTTCATAAAAGTAAAATATACAATTTTATTGTGTACATATTTTCGTATATTTTCGAGGTAGTTTATAAGTATTCTTATATAAAATGAATGTGTGAAATTTTATTTTTGATTTTTAAGCTTTTATTATATTTCAAACACACTTTGAAAATATATATATATATATAGGTTTATATATGTACAAAAATATGTTCCTATTTTCTGTGAAGAAATAAAAGCCCAAATATCAAATGGAAAATTAAAATTTAAATTCTTTTTCAATTTTATCTGATATAAATTTAGCTATTGACATGGAACTTGTTGCCGCTGGCGATGGAGCATTTCGAACATGAACTATTCTACATCCAATACTTCCTTTTCCTTCGTCGAATACAAAATCGTCCACCAAATTTCCATTGTTATCCATTGCTTGAGCTCTAACTCCCGCTGGTCCTCTGGGGAAAAAAGAATTTTAATATTATAGATAAAAAAAAGGAGCGAATTTCTTAATTTATCATTCATTTTTATTTTTTGTTAATATTAAAATACCTTTTTACATCCTTGGCAGTGATTTCCGGTACAAATTGTTGACATTCATTGACTGATAATTGATAAAAGATAGATTTAATCAGCTCATTCATTCCAGGAATAAAATATTTGAAACAAAGTTTATAAAGTCCTGGAAACATGGCCATTTCAATGCAGTCTTTGATGTTGATATCTTTCCAACTGAAAATTCAATTTTTAATTGCAATTTTTCTATTTTATTTTTTTTTTTGTTTTAATTTATTATTTTTTGTTACCTATATCCTTCTCTAGCTAATGCCAAAACGGCGTTGGGACCAAGCCACATGTCTCCGCTCATTCTTGGTGTAAAGTGAACTCCTAAAAATGGAAATCTTGGATCTGGAACTGGATATATGTTCGTTGAGCAAATATCTTTTTTGTCATCATTTAACATGAGATATTCTCCTCTGAAGGGAATAATTCGTGGACTCAAATCACAGCCAGTCATTACGGCTAAACGATCCGAATGAAGACCAGCGCAAGTTAAAACATATTTTGACAGTAGGGTCTGCAAATATTAATTTTTTTTTAATTTAAAATAAAAAATTAATTCATCAATGACAAATTTTACTGTCCAAAGTAAAAACCTTGTAAGTTACTTTTCCGTAAGGGTGAAAATCGTTTGGTCAGATCTATCAACTCTCAAAGTTATGGAAAAGTGATTTACTAGGTTTTTACTTTGGACAGCAGAATTAGTGGGACACCTTGATTGTACCTTATTCTTCGAAGTAATAGAAATAGGAGCATGCTCCGTGGAACCTTTCGATTCAGCACATTCTGTGAATCCTGTGACTTCGAAATTCAAAAATACATCACCGCCCATTTGTTTAAATTGATCAGCAAAATGTTGACAAACATATGCCCAGTCTACTATTCCCGTCCATGGTGACCAAATTGCTTTTTCGCCCTGAAAATATTATATAGTTTTTTGCCCGTTTTTAAATTGAGGATCAAGATCAAAGAATCGATTTAAAATTTTTTAAATTTGGAATCGACTCTTGAATTAAAAAAAAAAAAATTTGAATTTCAATTTTCTTTCAAATACCATCAACCAGGGTAATTATACCATCCCAGGGGCTATTATATCCATTAACAGTTTTTAACGAATAACATTTTTATTTTAAATATTAAGATTGAAACGGAAAACAAATGTAAAAATTATTGATCGAAATTTTTAAATTATTGGGAAGAATTCAATATAGTACCGTGTCAACCAGAGCGATATATACCTAACTTAGGGTGTCTAACAGTCAGGAAAGTCAGGGAATTTAAATAATCAGGGAAAAGTCAGGGAATTTCTTTAATTTTCTGGAATTTTTTATAAATAATTTAAAGTAACTATTAGTTACAAATTTTTTTTTTTTTACTTTTTTCCCAAAGCAAATTCAAATTAAAAAGTTGGCCTTCACACTCAATTATTAAGCATGTGATATATCTTATATTCATTAAGTAAATAATTATTTACTACTATTTATTGAATCTAATAAATGATTTTTTAAACTTGAATAACAATTAATTAATTTTTTTTTTCAGTGAAATATTTGGTTTTTTAATATAAATAAAAATTATTTGATACAATTTTATTTTATCGGTTCAACTTCAAATAAAGTAAATTATTCATTAAGGGGAGGGACCGCTGAAATTTCAACCATTCAAAATTGAGGCTGTTTCAGGTTGTCAATTTTTTTTCCAACTAATATTGAGTATTTAAAACTGTAATATACTATGGGAAATTGATAAACAATTAATTTATTAATAATTTTTAAAATAAAACTCGAAATTATCAAAAACTAAAAATTTAAATTTCTGTCACAATTATTTTTATTATTTTTCATTGCTGATTTTTTTATACACTTTTTTCAAGATTCTGAACAATCAATCGTATGAATTTGGAAAAAATTCAATTTTTGAAAATAAAAAGAAAAAAAAATTTGTTAAAAATAACTTTTTTTCATTTTTCATAGTGAAATATGATTTCAGGTTCTAAAAAAATTTGTAAAAAAAAAAATTGTTACCCCTAAACCAAACCAATTATTTTTGGTTTCAATTTCATCAATTATTCCTTAAACATTCAACTTCTTCTACAATTTTTATTATTTTTTATCGGTAATTGTTTCGTAGGTTTTTTTTTCATGATTCTGAACAATCAATGGTATGGATTTTTAAAAATTTTAATATTTTCAAAAAATAAAATTTTGAAAATAGTCAAAAAAATTTTTTTTTAATAATTCACAATAATTTTAGATCCAAAATAATGTTAGAAAAAAAAAATTGACACCCTTTAACATGAGTTGAAATTTCACCGATCCCTCCCCTTAATACGAATAATTTATTATTTAATGCTAATACCCACATTAAACTTATAAAAAATTTTTACGGCGTCGAATATTAAATTATCAAATTTCTATTTAGCAAAATGTCTATAAATATTGACAAAATAAGAACTAAGTAGAATTTTTCTTAAATGAGAATTCTGTTAAATAAGAATTAGTTCGAATTAAAATTTTCTTTAATAAAAACTTTATTAATTAAAAATTTCATTGAATAGAAATCTGTTAATTGCGGATTTATTCAATGACAATTCTGTTAAGTAAATATTTCGATAAATCGAAATTTACTAAAATAACAATTCTGTTAAAAAAATTTGTACTTTATGCAATTTTTCCGTTAAATTAAATTCCGACATAAATTCCGTTAAATTGAAATTGTATTAATTTGAAATTCGATATACAGGAAATATGCTTTAAATAATTTTACTAAATAAAAATTTGATAATATTTAAGATTTGATGCCGTAAAAGTTCTTTTAAATTCGCAATGTTGAGAATATTTATACTTCCCCAATTAGTTTATTTATTTCACTTAAATATTTTATTTTTTACGAAACATTATTTATTTGGTTCAAATACATGTGAAATTAGTGAATAATAGAAAGGTAAATGATTTAATTGTATCAAAATAAATTTTATTTGATCAAAATAAAAATTTTTTAATGTAATTTAGGTCAGGGAATTTTTTACCTAGCAGTTGTTAGATACCCTTCTTACCATAATATCCCCCCGGTGTACCAAAACAGTCCGATTCTCGGTTTATGGTATCTTAATTTAATTTTTTACCTTTTAAATTTAAAAAAGAAAAATTTCTTACCTTACATTTTGGCTCGTATTTTTGTATACAATCTTTCTCCACAAGTTCCAAATTGGGTACATTATTTTTTTGACCCCGTTCAAAAAGCTCGTGCAGTCTTTCAACTTCCATTTGATTTCTGGCGACAATGAGTTTTCCTGCTTTTTTATAAGGTATCTCGTGTTTGCAAAAATAATCATAAGAATGTTTCATTCCTTCCACACAAAGTCTTGCCTACAATCATTTGCTGTGAAATTAATATCATCAGCCATAATAATAAATGGGTGATTTTTTTTTGTAAATAAAATTATTTTCTTCTATTTTCAGAATTTAGTTTTTAATGTGAATTTTCACAATTAGGGTAAATTTTAATTTTTTTTTAATGATTTTTGGTATAATTATTTATTAATTTATTGTTTGGTTAATAATTCCCAAAAAAGTAAAATTGATTATTGAATTGTATAATTTAGTAATTCTATGACTATTTATTTTTCGAATTTTATTTGATATTTGTTTTGATTTTAATTATTTTATAAATTAATCACATTAATTGTTTTGTGTAGAAATAAAATTTTCAAATTTTCACCTTAATACTTCCGGGTTTGTAGTAAATACCAGCGTGAACAACTCCGCTATTGTGACCCGTTTGATGCATCGCAAGTTTATTTTCTTTTTCCACTATTGCAATTTTCAAATCAGGATGTCTTGTTTTTATTTCTCTTGCAGTTGCACAACCGACAATGCCACCTCCGACGACCACCAAATCGTAAACACTGCATGTATTGGAACTAAAATTTTTAATTAAAAAAAATTCAATTCACTGTTTAGACACATCAGTGACAAAAAGTTTCGGATTGATGTTCAATTAGTTTTCGTAATTATTATTCCGAGGCATTCCGAAATTTGTTTCCGAGACAATCCAAAAAAAATCAGTAAATCGATGAAAACAACAAAAAATTCTTTTCGAATCAAAAGCTTAATTTTAATCCTAAAATTTCATTTCGAATCAATCCGAAGCTAAATTTTAATTCTTTTAAATTATTAAATTTTATTCTGAATAAATTTGATTCAATTAGTTTCCAAGCCAATAGAATTGATTCGGAATAAAATTTCAAGATTCAGAAGGATTAAAATTTAGTTTAGAATGAAACGAATTTATTTGGAAAGAAAAAATCAAAATTGAAAAGAATAAAAATTTAGATTCAGAATGAAATTAAATTAAAATTAAAATAAATACATAATTTAATTTAAATAAAATAAAATGAAACCGATTCATTTGGCAAAAATATTTTGTTAAGTTACATTAAAATTTAGATTCGAATAGAAACTGATTGACTCGGAAACAAATTTCGGAATGTCTCGGAACAACAGTTATTAAAATTAATTGAAATTTAATCCGAAACATTCGTCAGGAATAGTAATAATTTTTATTAACAGACAATCTCGTTCGTTATAATAAATTAATAGTTATTACTAACATTATCATCATCATCATCATTAATAAATAATACGTTTAGGTTATTAAAATCCATATAAATATATGTGCTTTAAATTTGAATAAAAAATTTCCATTAATCTTGCAGTTTTAATATAAAAATTCATTAATTGTAACTAATGAAAATCTTAAAAATTAGTGATGCAAATTTTTAATTGTATTTCTGTTATATTTTAATTAATTCATATATATATACTAACCTACTTGTGGATGCATAATATCTAAAAATCCCAAGAGGCAATTTCCCATTTATCTTTATTATACTTGAATTCATTTTTGCTCTGTTTGCAGAAAATTTTCTAGATTCAATATTACTTTAAATAATCGGATCATCGACTATTTCTTCTTGTACCTATAAATAATAATGAGAAAAAAGAAAAAAATTATGAAAAAATTTCTAACCATATATTATTGTTTCTTGTATTTTGACAACAAATGACTCCTTTCAGACGAAATATAGAATATATATATAGAAAATTTTTATTATTTTTTTTGAAAATATTTTTTCAAATAAAAAATATTGTGATGTAGTAAATGTTTACCTCAATGAAGTTGGCGTCGACGCTCAGCGTCGAAATTTATTTTTCACGGGTCCAAAAATATCAAATGATTTTTAAAAAGATTTTGGGACCACATAATATCTTGAAAAGTATTTCTCAAGGCTTGAAAATCTTTAAAAAAAAAAAATAATTTCATACTTTTGATCCTGTGAAAAATAATTTTCGACGCCAACTTCATGGAGGCGAATGTTTTTCAATTATGCAGAAAATTTTCATTAATAATAATAATAATCAAGAATGTCGAAAAAAAAATATTATTTCGCGAAATTTACAAATTAAGAACTTTGAACACAGCTATATTTTATAAAATGTAAGTAATTAGATTAAAAATTAAAAGAATGGAAGTAAAAAATAGCTAAAAAATTGTTTACATATGTCGATGTATTTTGGAAATTTTAAATTATTTTCCTCATCACTTGGGAAAAGTAAATTTAAATCTCCCGTTATATAATCAAAGTAAAAGCCATGGTCGAATATATAGTCTTGACTTTTGAAACGATTTGGGGATTCATAATATAAATTTCAAAAATATTATTTTCTTTTTTTCTCTCATGTAAATTTAAGGTTAATGCTCTTAAAATTAAGATTTTTAAAATACAAATAATAATATTAAATAATTATAGTATAATAATAATAATTATTATAAGGGGCCATCCATAAACTACGTGAATTTTTAAGGGAGGGGGGGGAGAAAAAAATATGGTAACGTAGTTTACAGATGGTACATAATAATAATAATAATAATATTTTTAAAATATAATTATAATTAATAATTACCATATTGATGATAAAAAAAAAATAAATATAATAAAGATAAAAAATTATATTTTGAAAAATGTGGTTTTTAATGTGAGAATATATAGTCAATGTAAAAAATAAAAATAATTTTAAATGTAAGATGAATGTTTGATCTTAATTGATACTGAAGTGACAGTCCATTTATTTCTATTCATATATATATACTTTATATTTCTTGTGTCAGTAAATTAAATGTTATTTATAAATTATAAATGCCTTATTATAGAATGTTATTCAAATAGAATGTACATATGAAAAATTAATGAAAAATGAAAATAATAATAAGAAATATTTTATTACTATGTTTTAATTGTTGTTTTTGTTCCAGATATTGATAACATGTTCCATTCACGATCTGACGTTCAGGAAAAGTCACTTGAATATGGGTTACTTGACAATTCATTTCTCTATTATGAAGGAAACTTGATGTGCTAACACTCTGCTTTAACTCAGCCATCGTGTTTCATACTCATCGTCTCTTGGGATAAGAATTTTGTGCTGGTAAAGTAGATTTAAATATTTCTCCAGCAAGTGGCGCGATCTATAGGAAAAGAGAGGAAAATATTTTCAGGTAAATAAAATAAAATTTTTTTTTAATATAATAAACTTTCAATTTTATCAAAAAAAACAAAAAATTGGTAATTTAGTGAATAATTTTCTTTAAATAAAAAGTTAAGAAATGAATAAATTTTAAAATTGTTGTTAATTAATTTTTTTCTTTATATGAATAACTTTTATTCTGCAAAAAAAAACTACTGGTTAACTGGGGTAAATTATATCCGCACAAAAGGATTTATTTACTCAAAACGTCATTAAAATTTAGAATTAAAAAAAAATTTTTCAACTATTGCATTATGTTGTGGACGTCCTTCTAAAGAGTTTCTACAAGTTAGTTGACAAAAAATTTTTTACAGGATTTGAAAAACAAATATTAATGAGTTACAATTTTGAGGTTATATTGCACCCCTTGTAAATTTATATAATTTACTTATTTCTAGTTTTTTTAAAAATAAAAGTATTAAAAAAATGTATAAAAAAAATTGTAAATTCAGATGTTCATTACATGAATATTTTGCTTCCTCTTTACGATAAGCAAAAAAATTTTCTTCCTCGTGAAGAAAACATTAACAATGAAATAAACATACAAAAATAATATGATAATAATATAAACATTAGAGTACCTATACATTTGAGTTAAATTTAAAGAATTAATGAAAGTTAAAAAATCAAAAATTCATATTTTAACCGAAATTTCTAAATATTAATGAAAAATAATATATAATTTATAATTATTTACAATTATATCGATTCGTTTTAATGCAAGGAACACAATTATTTTATATTTAAACTTGAATTTAAATAACTATAAAATTTTTCAGCTAAAATGTGTATTTTCTATTTTTTAACTTTCATTAATTTATTAAATTTACACCTCAAATTTAAATTTTATATATGTATACCAATCGATTCGTTTTCATGTAAGGAATACAATTATTTCATCTATAAACTTAAATTTAAATAATCACAAAAGTTTATAGCCAAAATGTGAATTTTTGATTTTTTAACTTTCATTAATTCTTTAAATTTAAATTGAAACTATTATATATACTGATCGATTCGTCTTGACGTAAGGAATACGATTTTATTATATATGTATAACCTTAAATTTTTCTATTTAAAAATTATTTCGATTAAAAAAAAATTTTTTTGGAAAAAAGACGATAAATTTTTTTTTTTTTTGGTATTTTTTAAAATCCTTTGGTCAGATTTGAGATATTAATATGATAAATGATAAGGGATCCACACACACACATAAATACATCCGGACAATTGATCAGGATCTCATATAACATGTTTCTATATAGAAAAAAATTTATTTCCGCCACTTTGAAAATTTTTATAAACGAAAGGACTACAAAGCTTCCTCCACGAGGAAGAAAAAGATGCACTTATTTATACTTATTACAAAACAAATTTTCAAAACAAAAAATAATTATAAAATTTTAAAAAAATAGTTAGGGTAAGTGTACCAATTACGGCGAGTGCATCAATTACGGCGCGTTCATAAAAAATAGTTATTACTATTATATTCAATATAACTGTTGCAAAATGATTGAAAAAAATTATTTTAATCTTTTTTTGATACAATTACTAATGAAGATGCACATTTAAACAATTATTAATTTAATTATTTGAGATGAAATTTTTTCCCTTACCGTAATTGAAACATTTTTAAGATTTCCATTGCCTTCAATTACGGCATATTTGTTTAAATAATCGATTTTTATAAAGTTTAAACTTTTTTTTTAATATCTAAATAACATAAGCTTTTAGTTTAATAAGTCTTAAATTGACTTTGTATAATAGAAATGTCGAATTTTCATATTTCAAAGGTGTTTTGACTCGAATTTCGCCATAATTAGTACATTTACCCTATCTAATAAAAAGTCAACATCATTCAAACTAGTTTATCAAACGTTTAAGTGAAATATTTTGCAAAACACTACAAAACTTTAGGAGATCCAGATGGATTTTTGCAAACTTAGAAAATTTTTTTATCTCACTTTTTCTCAACTTTACGAAATTTCTTCTGCTTTCTAACAAAAAATTAAGTAATTACATTTAGTTCCCTTCATAGTTCAAGTATCAAACAATATTTACACCAAGATGCATATTTAAATATTTTAAAATAAAAATTTTATATTCACTAAAAATTGTAGATGGATATAATAGCCCTTGAGATGGTATAATTACCCCGGTTGACGGTACATCTAGAGAAATATTTTATTGAAAGCAAATATATTATTTCAAAATATTTTAAAATTTCTGTATTTGGCATAAATAAAATTTTATTTAGTGCAAGTAAAATTTTCATTCTAAAAAATAAATATTTATTCAGTTATAAGATAATAAGAGATAACTTAATTTTTTCTGTAAGTGTAAAGGGAAAATAAAATTTTTAAATTTTTGTTCAAGATTTTAAATTATATAATATTACAGTTATTTTGAAGATAAAAATTATCACTTTGAAATTTAAAGAATGACACAAAATTGAGTACAAAATACAAATTATATACCCATTTTAAGTGACTAATATTTCGAGATATTTCTTTGACTCATAGCCATTATTATTTTTCTAATCATTTAAAGTACATATTTTCAAACTTATTATTTTTTTAGGGGAAAATAAATTCATTACAATTTTAATGAATTTTTTTTCACCAGAAAAAGTTGGTGATTATTCCAAAAATTTTTTACATAAGTAAAATATTATTATATACAATAACAATAAATCTGAACAAATATAAAACTAAATGCATAAATTTATAAAAAAATATTAAATTTATTTTTTTAAACAAATAAAATTATATATGTATATTTTTAAAAAAATAATTCTTAATTTCGAAAATTTAAAAAAATGCGAAAAAATTGATAAATTCGTTTCTCCACGACGGGACTAAGCTTACAATTTTTTTTAAAAGGAAGTTTTTTGAAAATTTTCGTGGAATCGAGGAACACTTTTTCTTATATACTAAAAAATAAAAAAATTTTAGCCAAATGAAAAATGTCATTATCGCGACGATAATATGTAGAAATGGCGTGAACCCACCATATGTATCAGGGTGATTTTTATATGCCAGATCCTCTAAAAAAATTTTTTTATTCCTATTTTTTTCGTTTTTTAAACAAAAGTAATAAAATTAAAAACAAACATTTAGGGGGTCCAGAACATAAAAATCACCCTCTATATACACTGTTATTGATATAATAATTTATTACTATAATATCGTAGAATATATAATAAAATGTGTAAAAAATTCAGGTATACTAAAAAAAATATATTCTCATTAGATATAAGCTTGCTCATTACTAATTAATATCTTTCATTTAATATAATTTTCAGCCTGAAGGGAACTCTAATATAATTGATAGCAGTAGTTCGTGGAATTGAATTAATAAAGAAAATGAAGGAAAAAATCTCGACTCTCCCTCAAGGTCTCGAAATTTCACAAGGTAATTTTATTAGTAATTAAAATTAAAAGAAAAATAATTAACAATTAAGTTTATTTTTTTAAAAAAGTTTATCATTTGCTGTATATCACTCGCAGAAATTTTTCTAGCATTCAAATAATCTTTAGTAAATTATTCATTATTTCTCTCATTTCTGAGAAATAAATGGAAAACGTAATTAATGTAATATAATGAACAAACTCGTGGACGAATTTTATGTGGAATTTTCATTCAAAAATTATTTATTGGAATAATTTTTTTCAAATTTTTTTATTTTTTTACTAATTCAAATTTAGGGGAGAGTAGTCAGGGTTGGACAATGGTCATGGTTGAGCCATCGCGTTTATTTTGTTTTATCACACTAGAGCCATCTGTCTTTGTATGTAAGTATTTGTTAGCAATGTCAGGGAACTTTTCACATACGTTGCAGTGAAGTGTGCGAGCAATAAAGACGTATTATGCGAGTCACTGCTATACGATCAACAAAAAACTTTTTTGTTGTTTCAAAAGAAGACAATTAAGTGCAGAAAAAATATGTCAAAGACAAAGTAACTTGACTAAAATTGTTCATTAAGATGTTATATGAAAATGTGGAACGTAATATGGTGTTTGGATCATGCGTTTATTTTTGTGTGTGATGTGACGCTAAACGACGCGTGAGTCAGGATTGAGCCACCCAAAAATTTTGCATTTATCAAGGGTTCTTGCAATGGAAATTCATTTGTCGACTTGAAGAGGTGTCAAAACTTCATTTCCATTAAAAAGAATACAAATTTTTTAATAATTTTTTTTTTACTTTTCAGACCAGCTTCGCGATACAAGCGAAAATCTGAAAATTACACAATAAGGGCTTTTTATTTGAATTCCGTGGTTCCTTTACACATTTCCAAGTGTATTTGAGCGCCATTCTATCATTTGAAGGTCATTATTAATCATTTATCTGCATATTTCATTGATTTTCTACTCCCTAAATCTGAATTAGTAAAAATGTTTACTAATTTGAATTAGTGACTCACTTTTTGCTTTAGAATTAGTTAAATTTTACTAATTGTTAGTAAAAGTTACTAATAATTATTAAAATTTTACTAATTCTAAAGCAAAAAGTGAGTCACTAATTCAAATTAGTTAACATTTTTACTAATTCAGATTTAGAGAGTATCACCGAAAAAAAATCCTCTTGTTTCAAGAGGATTCCTCTTATTTCAATGCATATTTTCCTCGAGTATATGCTGCAAAAGGATGTCCTCTAGGTTTAAGAGGATTGTCCTCTATGTAAAATTATTCCTCTTAATTTAAGAAGATACTCTTATTTTAAGAGGAAAATATCATCTTAAAAAGAATTCTGAAATAATAAAAATGCAATCATCTAATTTGTATGTCATAGATATAATCTATAAAATTAAAAGGAATAAAATTTGTTATTCCATGATTTACATCTATATTTGAGT